AAAAAAAAAAAAAAAATCCACGCCCATGAGAAGGCAAGTGGCTGGAATTTGGAGGGGATTTTGCTGCCATTTGGCTGCCATTGACTGGGAAGGGCCATTTTGAATGGTTGCTGCTGTACATAATAATTAAATGTTTAAAATACTTGCGCCCCCCCCCCCACACTTCTGAAATCAAGATGTCCTCCATACTGTCTGGGTTTGCTTCCTGCAGCGCTGTTTGTGTTTATCCTCCTCATTGTTTTTTCCCCAAACAGAGATGTATCTGCTGTTAATTAATACTGAGCAGAGAACCCCCCCCCACCAAATAAAGAAAAACAGCAGTAAACATCAGAGGCCCGGCGGCTGGCAAAGCGAGACGAGCAGATTTATTCATAATGCCTCCGTGGCGAGGAGCGCTGTCCTCGTTAGCAGCCTATCAAAGTGCCTCGCCGTCCATATCAGCCAATGAATCATCGGCCCGTCTGATCCGGAGCCCGGGCCTCCCATGGTACCATTTTGTGCCATTGGGTCTCTGGTTCTGCTTTTCTTCTCCATTTCAGCTTAATGCAGCCGAACGGCAAAAAGGCCTCAGAGGATTTCCTCTCCTCGCTAAGAAACAATCAGGTTGTTTTTTTTCTGTTTTCAGAGGAAAACTACCTGGGAAAAAAACTCCAAATATGACGTTTTCTGCTCTAAGCATACGGCTCTGATTATCCCACACGCTTCTTTCATTAAATGAGTGTTTTTAGAGGACAAGTAATGCTTGAAAACACAGCAGAAACTGTAAATGATCTGTTTTCTGAGCAAATGCATCCATTTTTTTCCTTTTCTGCTCCATTTTATTTTATTTTTACGCTCAGCTGTCTTCATAGTTTATAAATGATGGAGGGTTTAAAACATCTTCTTTCTCCCGTTTCCTGAACATGAACCTATATTCCAGATCAGAGTAAAATCCTGTTAGAGAGCAAGGGAAAAAAAAAAAAAAAAAAGCTGAGTCACTGGTTGTCATGGTAACTCCCACCTTAACTCATAAGCAGGGTTCAGAAGCAGAGACACTCCTTCAGAGGAAACACAGACTGCATTAAAAGAAGTCAGCGAATCAGCCTCATCTTCTCGTTCCTCCATCAAGAACATATGGATGAACAACAGACTCAATGAGCTTGATTTAAAATCTAAAGCTTGTTCTGGGGAAAAAAGTATTTAACTATTCACACCAGTTAAATAAACGGAGATTAATGGATTTCACTCAGTCAGCAATTTATTTTTATCTTTGCAAAGAGAGAACGGTTCATCATACGGCCCTTATTGCACGGTAATCAGCCCTGTTCTGCATGAGCAGCGTTCGTTCCTCCTTACTTACAACAATGGAAAGAAGTCAGAGTCAAAACAAATTACACACACTTTGGTTAAACAGTAACATGTTATAAATATATCAAGTTAGAAAGAATCAGATTTGTTATGGAAAGATGGTACCGGTATGTCTTATCTACAAACACCCTCACAAAGGGGAATACTGTGGCCTTGCAGGTGAAACAGACTGAGTGAAAATTTTTACAGTGAGTAAACGGCATAAATTAATATATGAAATAAGAGAAATTAAATTTTCCAATTAGAGGAAAACTGAGTGAAAGAAGATAAAAAATGGCCCCATTTAAAGTCTACAAGTGGAGATAAAATCCAGGCCTTTATTTTATTCATCAGATTCAGCTTAATACTCAAATGGATTCAAAGTTTATTATATAAGAAAACCACCGGTGGGTTTAAAATAAAAATAAAAAGTTTTCTTTTTTTTTTAAAGCTATTATTTATCCAAATGAAAAATGGAGAACAGATAAGCAGATCATGGCTTGTCTACAGTGAAAAGAAGGACTGGGTTATTTACTTTGGCCTTTTTGGAAACACAGGAAGGAGCAATCAGCTAAGTGAGCTTAGTGCTTGGAAAAAATCTTTCATTCCTTTAGAGACAGCATGAAAAGTCAGCTGAGTACAAAACATAGAGAGGAAAACAAGAAGAAAAGGGACAAGAAGAGAGGGACACAACCTAGAACAGATAATGGATGTCTATTCTATTAACATTTCTCTATCTGGAGAATGGGGCTGTTTTATGTGTTGTCTTCTCAGTTCAGAGGGCCCCCTGCCTGTCTTTGCCTAGGGCCCCACATTTCCTAAATCCACCCCTGGCTGAGTTCTGTGTCATTATTGATCATTATGACTGTTTTATCTAATTTGCACCATGTTGAATGTTATTTCATAGGTAAAACTCAACTTTTACAAGGTAGCAGGTTTTATATTTTCCGCTAATAAAATCTTTTATTAGAGTTTTATTACAGTGTGTTTTTTTAAGTTAATTTTAAGTTATGTACGTGTTATTGCAAATTTGCTACATACCTAAATTTCTCTTATTTCTTATTTTTATGCAATAGTCAAAGTAGCAGTTTTTGGCAGCTGCTTGAAGGCAAAAAACATTAATATAAATATGTATATAAATTCAGGCATTAAGATGCTCAGGGCAGTTAATGATCTTAATGGATCGACTTAAAAAGTGTCTTTTCATTAGGTCTGCTTTATAGTTTAGTTTAAGTTTGCGTTTTATGGCCATTTTTAGAGTTTCCGAGATGAATGTTGACAGAAACCTCCAGCAGAGACAGGACCAGGCTCATTTTGAGCAGAAATGGCATCGCATTGAACCAGGAGTCCTTTCAATGTGAAAAAGAAGCCAAAAGTTGATGGTTCCTCACCTTCTTCAGTCTCGTGCCAGACAATTCCCTCCAAGTTAACGCTGGTCCCAGGCTGACAGGGCCCCAATAAGGCCGGGTCACCGTCCGGCACTCCTGGAAAGCCTCCGTCCTGAGTGTTGGTCCCGACCGACCGCGTCCTAACTGTCAGCGGCTTAGGGTTCGAAGTTGGCAGGGCCGGAGAGGAAAACGAGGGGACTGAGGGCAGTGAGGACCCAGGGGCCCCGGGATGACATGGAGCCGGAGGGGCTGGCACTGTGAACATGGGGTCCATCTGGAAAAAGAAAGTAAACACAATAATTAGTTTTATTAAAAAAGCCTTTTAAATGATTACAAAATATTTTTATTTGGTCCAAAGGTAATAATTAAATTTCTTGCTGTAATGAGTGTCTGATTAATGATCTGATTAATGGAAGGCTGGCTTCTCAGTTGCTAGTGCCAGTCTATTAGTGTTGTAGTCAAGACCACACTAACAGAGACCAGTTAGCATGTTAGCGGCTGAGACCGGGACAAGGGAAAGAACTTTAGATGCCAAGACCGAGACAAGGCCATGACCTTTAGAAGCCAAAACCGAGACAAGGCCATGACCTTTAGAAGCCAAAACCGAGACAAGGCCATGACCTTTAGAGGCCAAGACCGAGACAAGGCAGAGAACTTTAGAGTCCAAGACCCAGACAAGGCCAAGACCTTTACCCCTTGCTCACACTGGCTCCGGTGCGGTTACCGAGCC